AGAAACAATGAGTACAATTTCTTAACCCAGTGGGTATCAGACCTTTAACAGATCTGTATTCTGGATTTTCACATTTTTCTCCTTAGTATGTTTTCACAGTAGCTGATTCCATCCCTTAGAACCTGAGCAGTCTCCAAAGGCTCCACACCTAAGCCTAACCATATCCTAAGAGGAGGTAAGATGTGTCCATCGTATACTATATGACAGGTACTGGGCTAAGTGCTTTACCTGCATCATCTCCTTAAAACAACCTTAATGCAGACCAATGAAGAGAAAAGTACGTCAGGTCAGAGGATCCACACCTGAAAAAGCAGTAGTATAAAACCAACAAGGAAATACACCTCAAGGAAAAGAGTGGGAGGTGAGGCAGACAGGCAAAAAGGAGCCAAATGCTGAAAGGTCTTAGATGCCAGGCTGAAACGTTCCAATTCTGGTGAAAAGCTGAAGAGTCACTGAAATACTTTAATCAGAGGAGTCGTATGATTACATTCACATTGTAGAAATATCACTGCCACCTGGAAAATGAGTGGTGACAGACTGGAGGCAGGGTTAACAGTTTGAGGCTACTGACAGAAGGGGCAGTGAGAAGAGAAAGGATGGGAGCTGAGTGGAGAGACAAATGACATCTCTAAAGGAGATGACAATGACTGGAGTAAGACAGCAGCACGGAGGTACAGAGAAGTGACGGGATGCTGGATGTGTTTTTAAGTAGAGCCAAAAGATCTTGCTGACAGTATGGATGTGGAGTGCAAAGGAAAAAGACAACTCAGTGATGACTCTAAACACTAGGGATGAGTGACAGTATCACTGGTGCCATCTACTCAAACAGGCAAGGATGAAGGAATGAATAGGTTTGGGGAAGAAACCAATAATAATTATTATATCTACATCCCATATTAAAGATAAGGAAACTGAGGCACAGAGTATCTAAGCAACTAACCCAAAGTCACACTGCTGATAAGCAGCAAACCTGGGGACTGAATTCAGGGAATGTAGCTCCAGAGTCTGAATTCTTAACACTAAGCTAAAGTGCCTCCTAAGCCTCCAAGGAGAAAAAAAAAAAATCAAACAAAAAAAAAAAAAAGAAAAAAAGGTCTAGAACCAAGCCTGGGGCTCAGTTCAACATTCCAAAGTCACAAAAAGGAGAAGCCAGATAGACTAAAAAAAGAGCTAAGCAGAAAACTAGAAAAAGTTTGGTATCCTGGAAACCAAATGAATAAAGTACATCAAAGAGGAATGTAAGAGATCAACAAAGAAATGGACTAGGAATTGACCAACGGATTTGGCAAGATGGAAGTCACCAGGGACTTTGAAATAAAAACTTGATGGAATTAGTTATCTTTATAATTCAAGAGTTGAACTTAGGAAGACATATGATGTCCAAAATGAGACCCATATATTCAGTAAATGTTTACTGAATGTTTATTAGTGCTGGTCTACACGTTAGGGGTGCAGTGGTGAACAAAACAAACAAAAATCCCTGTCCTTCTGGAGCTCACATTCTAATTACACATTTAGGAATTTCTTCACCAGTATTTTACCTCTTTATGTGAAATGTTTTGTTGCATAAATCAGCCAGTGAATTTCTGATTCACCTTTTTGAGTTTTTTTTTTTAATTGGGTTATAGTCAGTTAACAATGTTGTGTCAATTTCCGGTGTAGAGAACAATTTTTCAGTCATATATGAATATACATTCATTTTCATATTCTTATTCACTGTGAGCTACCACAAGATCTTGTATATATTTCCCTGTGCTATACAGTATAATCTTGTTTATCTATTCTATATATACATGTCGTATCTACAAATCTCGAACTCCCAGTCTGTCCCTTCCTACTCCCCTCCCCCATTGGAACCACAAGTTTGTATTCTATGTCTATGAGTCTGTTTCTGTTTTATATTTAAGTTCATTTGTCTCTCTTTTTTTAAGATTCCACATATGAATAATCTCATATGGTATTTTTCTTCTTTCTGGCTTACTTCGCTTAGAATGACATTCTCCAGGGACATCCATATTGCTGCAATTGGCATTGTATTGTGTTTTTTATGGCTGAATAATATTCCATTGTATAAATATATCACAACTTCTTTATCCAGTCATCTGTTGATGGACATTTAGGCTGTTTCCATGTCTTGGCTATTGTAAATAGTGCTACTATGAACATTGGGGTACTGGTGTCTTTTTGAATTAGGGTTCCTTCTGGATATAGTGGGATTACTGGGTCATTTGGTAAGTCTATTCCTAGTCTTTTGAGGAATCTCCTTACTGTTTTCCACAATAGCTGCACCAAACTGCATTCCCACCAGCAGTGTAGGAGGGTTCCCCTTTCTCCACAGCCTCTTCAGCATTTATCATTTGTGGACTTTTGAATGATGGCCATTCTGACTGGTGTGAGGTGATACCTCATTGTAGTTTTGATCTGCATTTCTTTGATAATTGAGTTTATTAGTTTATTGATGAATAAAGTTAAAGGCATTTAATTTTAAAGAAGTACAAATATATGCTAATGTTAAATGATAAATGTATCAAGTGAATTGGTGGCAGTGCTTTAATATCACTGACATACTGATAGACAAAGTGAGAAGAAATATTGGAAAATGTATTCTACATACTATATTCTATATGCTATACTAGTAGAAAATTTTAAATGAAAGTCTGTTGGACTCTGTCCAAGGATTATTTACTGGGAGTCTCTGGCAGGTCTTCTTAGATAACCTTTCATGATATTTTGATACATGGATCATGAGGAGAGAATTGATTCAAACACTAAAACCTGACTAACTTTAAAAAGTAAGCTTTTCCGTAGCAAAACAATGTTCAAGAAAGCTTACTGTCAAGCAGGCTCAACTGACACATTCTCAGATTAACAAACTTGTATTAAGTACCTACTCTGTAGCAATCAATAAAAAGAATTAAGGAGCATAATACAGGATAGAACTATCTTTAATGCTAAATACTCTGGTAAGGACAAGTGTTACAGGACTTCAGAAAAGGATGGAGATTACAGTGGGCTAGAGCAGTGTTTCTCAATTGGAAGCTGTTTTGTACCCCCAGCGTACATTGGGTTATGTCTGGAAATGTTTAAATCATAACTGGTGTTTGGGTGGGGAGAGGTCAGGGATGATGCTAAACACCCTACATTGCAGAGGACAGATTCCCATAACAAAGACATTTATCTGGTCCAAACTGTCGTCGTGTCGCTAATGGGAACACTAGGTTAGGGTAATCAGGAAATGATTCAGGTATGAGTTGGATTCTGAGTTGCCCTTTTAATCATGTGGACATGTAGAAAAGTAGAAGAAATAATACAAGCAAAGCTATAAAGACAAGAAGGAGCCTGCACTTGAACTGGGTGGCGTAGGTACTGGGAAAGGGTTTGACATTAAGAAATTTATCTGAATTCAATGGAAATGTAGGTTCAAAAGGCAGTAGGATATAAAGGTGACTGGGTAGTTGGAAGCTAAATTCTACACGACCATGAAAACTAGATCAAGGTGCTGGAAACAGAGGCAGCAGGTATTAAGAAACTGTTTTATTTTGAGCATTTGCCCCGGAAATTAATGCAATAAGTTATAAAACTGCTTCAGATCAACCATGTCTTACTCATCACTCTACCTCTTAAGTCGCTGAGTGGTGTCCTGTAAATAGTGCACTAAGTGCTTATTAAATAAAATGTAACTTTCCAATTATTTATTTATTAAATATTACTGGTGATCTCTAAAGTTCCATCCATGGCTAAGATTCAGGACATTCATTTAAACCAGAACAACAACAAAAATCTATCATTTAGTTGGTGCCTACTGTATAGAGACACTGTAGGCAGCCCTCTACACATATTATTTCATTGAACAAACAGAATGTGATTTTCCTCTCTTTAAAGATGAGGGACATTGGCACTCAAAGAGCTTAAGAAACTTGTCCACGATTTCACTCTGAGCCAGGCAATGACAGATAGGATTGAACACTTTTCTTGTCTTAATTTAACTCAAACCTTCAAGCTTCAGTAGCATGCTGGAAGTTAAGAGTTAAAAAGCAAAATTCAACACCCATTTTTCATAATCAAAACATACAAAGACATAAAAAGCAATTCCATAAGGTTGTCAGTATTCTTTACGACAGCAATGGCCCTTGATATTCAACTCGCTTTCATTTCACATTTGGTGTGCCAAGGTAGTCAGTCCCTCGATGCATTCAAATTACCCCCAAAATTCTCTCCCTGAAAACTCAAACTCCTGTAATTACTGCCGCAGACCAGAAAATAAATAAACACAAAGCTAACCTGTTGAATTTGTATGATCAGTACCTAAAACCAATGATTCAGGGGGAAAAAAAACATTTCAAGTTCAGAACAAATCGGCGTTTCAGACTCAAGGTCCATTTCACGCTTCTTAAAGTACTGAGACCCAGTCCAAGGAAGGCAGCCCCGTGGCTCAGGTCCGCAACTAGGTTTCGGTTGTTGCCAAGTATTCCATTTTTCATCTCTCCCAACATCTCTGAGAGTCTACCCTTCACCAGAAGCTCTTTCCTCCCTTCAACGGTTATAAAACAGATTTTACAATCCTCTAAGGAGGCTAAACTAAAACATTCCCCTAGTTCCAAACGTTTGACGTCTGTCCTGGGGAAGACTTTATTATAGGGCTTATCAACCTACGCTAGCTGATACCCCCTAGCTCTCAGCTCTTCTCCCAGAAGGAAGCCCTGTCCCGGCACCAGACGCTACACCAGCTGTTCCTCCGCGGCCTGCTCCATCAAGCTTTTGAGCAGTTCTTTCAGAACCCACAGCCCCAGCTCAAGGCCCCTTTCGCAGGCTCTCTCAGTCCCATTTCTTTCCAAGAGGATGCGCCAAGCTCCCAAACCTCCTCCGAACTCTGACAGAAAGAGCCTCAGGAAAAGGGAAAGAACTCGGCCCGGCCCAGGGGTCCAGAACATACGCGGAGAGCGGGCAGAGGGGGCTCGCAGTCCGGCGAGGGGTGGACAGGGAGCGGCAGAAGCACCTACCAACATCCTGATCGAAGGGATTGGTGGCAAAGAGAGGCATCTCCACTGCGTGCAGAGGTGTCCGCAGGGACTCCCCCTCGACACCACGGGAGTCCAGGTGCGACTCAGGTAGGAAGACTCCTCAGGCCAAAACAGCGACCGACACGGACTCCACAGGGTCTGCGACAGCTCCTCCACTCGCCGACCCTCGACAACCACGGCAGCAGCGGCGGCGGCGGCGGCAACAGCAAAGGAGCCGAGAAGGCCCCCGGCGTGGAGCCTGTCGGGAATCTGGGCGCCCACGGCGCTGCCTGTCCAGAACCTACCCGGAACCTGCCCCGCCAAAACAGGACCAACCAAGGGCCCCCCCGTCAAGACCTCCTTTTTATTAGCCGCACAGGAGAGTGGCAGTCATGCTTGAGTTTTCTGCTTTGCCCTTGGCCATGAGCCTCCGGAGGACGGGGTCCTCCAGGCGCGCCGAAGCCGACTAGCGAGCCCAGGCGTGAATCAGACTGAGCAAAAAGAAAAGGGTCGCGTCTGGCTGGAGGGAGACCCTCTTTTCCCCTCACGCTGTCGGTTGTCTTAACTTTGTGGTCCCTATGGAGGGGAGATGCAAATTCCTTCACTCGGTGTGGGGGCGCAGCTAAGTAAAAAGGCTATGAGTTCAATTTGCTGTCTGCGGTGACAAGAAACCTGCTTGGGTGAAGTCAAGTGATCGGGACGGATTGGCCCGAATCCCTAGGAGGGGAGTGTCAGGGCGCGCAGCTCCCTCGGAGAGGCTGGAAGGCTGGCACCTTGCGCAGAGTCCCGATCGCCCGGCTTCAGAAACTGTCAAAAGTACTTCTAGTTGGGTGGTGGCACCTCCTGACTAACTCTGCAGCCACTAAGCAGTTACGGGAATTGGAAAATCAGTTGCACAATCCAAGAAGGTCTACAATAACCCCGCAAAGCCGAGCCAAAAAAGAAAACTGAAAAATGGAGCTTCCGATTGATTCGTGACTAATAATAACTTTAAATATTTAGTAACTTTATTTGTGAGTTTATTTAACAAAATATTGTCTATATCATGTAAAAATTTTAAGAAGCATCTGCTAGAAATTTTGCGTTCCACTTGGAACAGACTTAGAGCATCTTGCACGTAAATTGAAATTATGTTAATTTACCAAAATTGAAACATTTCCAAACGTGGCTTGTGAACGTTTACAACATGTCAACAACGGGATTAGCATTGTAGTGTAGGAAGAATGCTTACAAAAATCTCTGCCTTGTGAGTAAGAAGGCAGCTGTATATGCAAGCCAGGAAGAGAGTCCTTCCCAGAACCTGATCATGCTGGCACCCCGATCTCAGATTTTCTGCCTCCAAAACTGTAAAAATAGAAATAAAATAAAATAAATAATAATTCCTACTGTTTAAGCCACTAAGTCTATGATATTTTCTTACGGCAGCCGAGCTAACACCATTCTTCACACCCCTGCTGGAATGATTTTTCTAAAACACAAATCTGATTATGTTATTCCTGTAAAATTCTCATATGGTTCTTCAGTCATTCAATAAATAATTATTAACTCTTTATTTGTGCCAAGTACTAGTCTAGATGCTGGAAATATCAGAGAGATAAAAGCTCCATGTGAGATAGGGTTTTAGGGAGTATAGCCTATGGGGAATACAGGCTTGAAAGAAATAATTAAATCCGAATTCTTTGGTGTTACATCCTCACTGAACTGGCCCCTGAGAACTTCATTTTTTTCATAGTCTTTTTTTTTTCAGACTCTCTCCTTTAGTCCTTCCACTGGGCCCATACTTTCCACGTCTTCAAACAAGACTTTCCTACTCCGATTCTATACCTTCTCTAAACAAACCTCCACTCAGATTTCACTTCCCCAAAGCCCGTTCTAACTCAGCACCTGAGCTGTAATAGATATGCCATAAATATTTGTTAGTTAGTTGATTACTGGCCATTTCTATCACAGCACTTAATGATACTATATTTGTTCCAGGTGTCTTTTACGACATTAAAAACCACCCCAAATTTAGTGACTTAGGGCAACAAAAATCATTTATTTTGCTTGCAAATCAAAATTTTGTTCAGAGCTCCACAGACACAGCTTATCTCTCTTCCACATGGTGTCAGCAGGGGTGACTCAAAGGCTGGGATGACTCTACACCTGGGGCTGCAATCATCTGAAGGTGTGCACCCTGCTGTGTCTGGGAATTGATGCTGGCAGTTGGCTGGGCCATTGGGGCTGTTGGCCAGAATATCTATGTGGGACTTCCTGTGTGTCAGCATATTGGACTGAGCATTGCAAGGGGTGGGAAGGGGAGACTGCCAGTTTCTTCAGAACCTGAGCTAGGAAGAGGACACAGGAGCATTTCAGTCATTTCCTACTGGATAAGCAGTTGCAGCCTCTATAGTCAAGGGGAAAGGAAATAAAATCCATCTCTCAATGGAAGGAGTATTAAAGAATTTGGGGGCCATATTTGAAAGCTGCCATACTACTGTAACTTTTTACTTGTTGATGACTCACATATCTCTATACTTTCAGGCTTTTCACAGTAAGGGTTCCACAAGTATTTGTTAAATATAGTAAACATGTCATTAAATTGGCACACTTCCATTACCAGTCACGAGGGAGTAACAGAATCTGGACTTCCCTTTTCACCATAACCCAATAGGACGTGGGGGAAAATACATGAGACAGTTGATTTCAGATCTGAAACAACAGACTGTGGCCCAAGGAGAAAGGAAACAAACAGTGAGCCCTATGACAGCCACAGCTTTCTGTCAGGGTCAGTTTCTGGACTGTGCCACAGGGAGGGAAAACCCAAACAGAACCAAATGGGATCGTGAATGACATTTCAGAATGATGAAGGGGTAAATTCACCGAAAAGACATAATAGTTGCAAATGTGTATTAACCTAATGACAGAACTTGAAGAAAAAAAAGGAAGCAAGACTTACAGAGGAGAAATAGATACATCTGTAGTTTTCCTGTTTGTTTTGTCGTTTTTTATTGAGTACATCCATAGTTTTGTTAGCTATTTTAATATTCCTTTCTCAGGTAAAGATAAAGCAAATAGAAAATCAGTAATTACATAGAAGACTCAAAGCACACTCTCAACCAACTTGACCAAATTGACATTTATGATGGCCCACCCAAACACTGAAAGATAAACATCCTTGCCAGGTAGATACAGAACAGTAACAAAGATATGCTGGCTTTATAATGACTCAAAATAATTTAAAGGATAAGATTAAATAGATTTTGTTCCTTGATGAAAACAGAATTAACTCAGGAAGATAACAAAGGTATCTGAAAATGTTCAACTTATGTACAGATGAAACAATACAGTTCTAAATAACCTCTGTGTCAAAGAAAAATCAGAAAATATTTTGAACTGGATGAAAGTGAAACCAACCAATCAAAATTTGTGAGATGCAATTAAAGTGATGCTTAGAGGAATACTTGAAGCATTAGATATTAGAAAGATCTAAACTCAATGAAGGGGGAAGGTATAGCTCAACTGGTAGAGTGCATGCTTAGTATTCCCCAGTACGTCCTCCAAAAGTAAAGAAATAAATAAACCTAATTACCTCCCTCCCCCTCAAAAAAACCTAAGTAAATAAATCACCCTTCATAATATTTTTAAATAAATAAAGTAGAATAAAATCTATGAGCTAAGCTGCAAACTTAAGAAAGAAAAAAATTCAAATAAGTAGAAAGGGGAAATAATAAAGATAAAACCAAAAATCAATGAAATAAAACACAAACAATAGAGAAAATCAATAAAACCAAAATTTAATCTTTTTTAAATCAATAAAATTGGCAAAACTCTACTTAGATCAAAAAATAAAGAGGGAACACACAAATTATCAGTATCAGGAATTAAAGCAGCAGCATGACTATAGATCCTGTAAGTAAAACATTATGGAAATTCAATAATATTAAATTAAAACATTCATAAAGGAATTTTCTGTTAAAAAACTTTACACCAATGAATATGACAACATAGGTGAAATGGAAAAAAAATGCTAGAAATAAAAGTTATCACAACTGGGTTAGGAAGAAACAGAAATTAAATTCTTTAACTCCACAAAAATCTCTAGGCCCATGAATTTAATAGTGAATTCTATCAAAATTGAAGTTTGTGATGTCAGCACTTATCAAATTGCACATTTTAAGTATGTACAGACTATTACATGTCAATTATACCTCAATAAAGCTGTTTAAAAATCACTAGAAAGAATATCCTTTGCAACAATTTATAGTTTTGAGGGAACATTTTAGACAATTACTTAAAAATGGAAAAAAGATAAAAATGTTTGAAAACCACAGCGTCGGCCCATTCCCAGCAAGATTGCCCCATCTCCCCAACCTTTCCTAATAGATAATTCTAAAAGAACTGCTTTTTTTGACTAACAAGTTTAACTTTTTTTTTTTTTTGAGCAGGTTAGACCCATTCTCAAAATGCAAGGGTCTATAAATAGACTTTTCACAACAAAGGATAGTTTTATAAGAAATATAAACTCCCTTGATTCTTTATAGCTCAACTCCTGACTTCCACCTTTGCCTCTTTTCCTATTATAAAGATTATATATTTCCTTTAACCTAATAACTGTGAAAGGCTGGGTAACTGGATTAGCACCATTCTCTCACCAGCTGGTCATGATTCATGGCAATTCCGCTGACTCAGTTTTGCAGCTGGTGTATCATGAAGGATCTTTTGGAAAATAAAGAATCTGCTCCTCACCAAGGAATCAAAGACTTTTCAGGGGCTTTCCTGCATGTTAAAATAAGCCACAGAATTTCAAAACAGATGACTCCAATCATAAAGGTATCTCATAGTTTCTAGGTACAGTGAGAAATGTATCTGCTCACTAAAGGCAATTGACAACAAGAAAAAAGGCAGCTTCATTTTAAAATTCCCTGGCTATATCTATGCCTATGTAGCAAATAGTCCCCCAAAGGAGCATTTAAAATGCTACTTTTTTTTACTATAACTCAATAAAATAAAATTTAAAAACTAACTAAATAAAATAAAATGCTACTTTTTAAATTGTGTTTAGTCTAACATAATTAATGTTTGTAATAGCATATTGTATGTTTCATTTCATTTTCCTGATCAATTTTGTAAGATATGAAATGGTTCTTCGGTAATGAAGTTCTTACTTGTAATAATGCACCTAGAGAACAGAAAGATTTTACTTACAAAGATTTGACTTTCAATTGTCTATCTAGAACCAAATTTGTATGATTGATGCTGTTTTAGAGGAGGTTCTAGTAAGCTCTAGGTAACAACATCACTGTGTCTCAATTTTCACACCAATAAAAAATTAAATTAATTCAAAATTAAATTATTCCTT